AAATCCGGAAGCACCAGTTCCTGAGCCCTGTGGAAAGATGTGTTGACCTTCAGAATGAAGGCTGGGTCCAATCTTAAAACCACCCGATGAGGATGGAGAATGCAGAGGTCGGGGCGAACCGAGAGAGCAACCAACTCTGAGATTCTCCTCGCTGAAGTGATTGCCACTAGGAAAACAACCTTTTGAGTAAGGAGATGAAGACTAGATTGTTGAAGCAGCTCAAACAGAGGTTTTGTGAGGGACTGCAGAACCTTGGTCAAGTCCCAAGTGGGGTACCTCTGTACCACAGGAGGGCAAAGTTTGGTAGCTCCTCTGAGAAACCTACGATCTGTAGGATGCTGAGCCAAAGATTCCAGCTTCCCACAAGACAAGACTGACGAGATGGCTGACACCTGCCTGTGGAGAGTGTTGGGGGAAAGACCCTTGTCCAGGCCAGCCTGTAAGAATTCCAAGACTGCTGCCACCGAAGCTTGTAGAGGTGAGACGTTGGACTTGACACCCCAAGCTAAGAAGGATTGCCAAGTAGCTTCATAAATGCGAACTGTAAATGGATGCCTGGAGGCCTGAATAGTTTGGATAACCTTATTGGAGAGTTGGGTGCTTTTTAAGATGCCCCACTCAAACTCCACATTGCCAGTTGTAGCCACTGGGGCTCTGGGTGAGACAGGGACCCCTGGAGAAGAGAGATATCCTCCTCAGGAATCCGTCTAGGAGGGATCACTGAAAGGCCCATCAAATCAGAAAACCAATGCCTGTGAGGTCAAAAGGGAGCCACCAATATGATTTCAGCCCACTCCAACAAGAGCTTACGAATCACCGTTGGGATCAATGGAAAGGGACCTGGTACCTCCTTCTATATTGATGTACGCCTTTGTGGCCACATTGTCAGTCATGACCAGGACGTTGGACCCTGACACCTGGCAGAGAAACTTCCTCAGGGCCAAACGAACAGCTCTGAGCTCCAGCCAATTGATGCAGAACTGAAATAATAACCTGCAGATCCTGCTGAGCCCTCTGAAAAGAAGACGTGATTAATATGTCATCTAGATATCATTGTAAACGCACCGAGAGGGTATGGAGATGCACTGCCAAGGGAGCTAAAATTTTGGTAAAGACCCTGGGGGCGGAAGACAAAGGGAAGAGTCCTGTATTGGAAATGTTGTCCCTGATAACAGAACCTAAGAAATCTCCTGTGGGAAGAACAAATAGAAACATGTAAAGAGGCTCCTGTCAAGTCTATTGATGTGAGGAAGTCCCCCTGCTGAACACTTTCCCAGATGCATTTTGAAATGCCTGTAAACAACATATTTATTGAGTCGTTTCAGATCAAGAATTGTCCACCACAACCACCCCCGAGGCCTTAGGAATAACAAATATTCTGGAGTAGAATCCCATCCCCTGTTGGTCGAGGGGAACCTCCTGAATGGCCTTGAGGTCCAGCAAATGTTGGATGACTGACTCCATCAGACTCCACCTCCCAGCATCTCTAGATACTGGGCAGGAGATAAAGAACCTTGGAGGAGTGGAGCAGAATTCCAGTGAAAGACCCGATCTAACGGTGGATAGAACCCAGGCGTCAGAAGTAATACTCTCCCATTGGTCAGCAAACCACACTAAATGACCACCAATGGGAACAGAGTGAGCACTAGCATTGGCGACGGTACGGGTGACTTCCTCCTCCTCGAAAGGGCTGTTTAGAAGAAAACTGCTGCCTGCCCTTGCCTGAGCGATCAGGAGGAGGTTCTTGACATTGATAAGCAGTTTTTGATGGCCATTGGAAACTGGAAGATGACTCTCCTCTGAACTGAAGTCGTTTGAAATAAGGAGTGGCCCGATGTTCCACCCTTTTCAGGACTGAAGGAAGAATCTTTTGTCCTTGGTTTCAACCAAAAGGGGCTCAAGGACCTCACCAAAGAGCTTCTCCCCTTGCACCGGAGCAGACACCAACTTCCATTTACATCTGCCATCAGCTTGCCAGTTGCGTAGCCAGCACATGCGCCTGGCTGCCACTGAGGAAGCAATGACCTTCATGGCAAATCTGGCGCTATGCAGGGTGGCATCTTCTGTAAATTCAGTGGCTGCCATGATCTTGTTGATGTCCTGGTGAGTATGGACATCTGATGAGGGAATCCTATGCCCCAGCTGCTTCAGCCAGTTGAGCAAGGTTCTCGTAAAGAAAGAAACTGCTGTAGAAGCATTGACAGCCCTGCAGCAGCCAAATGGGATTGCTATAGCGACTGTTCCACTCACTTTTCTTCTGCCTTGAGGACTTCCTCTGGGTCTGAAGAAACAAATAAGGAGGAGGCCAAAGCAGCGACTGGAGCATCAACTGTGGGGGCCTGAAGGGTCTTGGTAAGCTCTGGCCCCACATTGAAGAATCTGCGATCAGAGGCCAGAGGATTGGGCCCTGTGGCAGGAGCTTCAAGCTGCTTCTTGGTTACCTTCAGGAACAGCTTTGGTGATGGAAATACTTCCTTCCTGACTTCAGGGTCGTCGAAGAGAACATCTGACTCCTCAGGAGGAAGAGTGATCATGGCCTCATCATCTGCGTTTTTCAAATTGGCAGTGTTTCTAGCCTTGAACAACAAGGGACTAAACAAAGCATATTTAAAACAACCAGTAAACACCGGAACTTCCTGTGAAGGGTTTCATCCGCTGACATATCACATTCCAGCTGATCAAGTTCCCCCACCAATGAAGGAAGCACTGAGGCAGCAGGAGTGAAGCCTTCAGCCAACCAGAAACTGGCTCCTGGAGAAAGGAGCCTTGTTCTGACAAGAGAGCCTCACGAACCTGGGATCTTCTCTTTGACAAGTCAGAGGCAGCCGAAGAATGCCGAGTCACTCTCTGCAAACCTTCTGAGATGCCCTTCCTGATTGCCTTGTCTATCAGGAGTTGTAGATTCATTGAGACATCCAAATCAGAAGGGTCAGTAGGTCTGGTTGCAGATGCAACAGAAGGGAAAGGGGGTTCCACCCCCTGTCTACTGCGCCCAAGTTCCTGCCAAGGTGCCACATCTCCCTGAAGATCCTCAGCTTGACTGTCGCCTTCAGAAGGAATTGGAGATGCGCCTCTCCTGGACACATCAGGGGACCAAATTTGAAAACCACGTCTGGAAGAAGGTCCAGTCTCCTTCAAATCCACTTCACTGAATGCAGCCGGAGGGGTGTGCAGACATTACGTGAGAAGAGGCCTGATGCACCTTGGCTATTTGTTTCTCGATGGCTTGATGACATCTGGAAGCATCCTTCTCCTCTGCCCTTGAGGCCTTCTTTACAGGCTGCTTCCCTTTGGTAGAAGCAGCAGGAGCCACCTTTTGAGGCTTGGCCGCTTTAGAAGCTCTGGTTTCCCTTGGGGCTTCAGCCATCGTGGAGCAGCAAGGCCAAATCTGGATGGGAAGTCCTGTGCCAGGAAGAGAGCACATGAAGGGATTTATGAAATTATCTTCAGGGGAAATCTTCTCTATCCCCACACCAACCACCACTTTCTTCTGCCCAAAAACACTTCAGTAGAAAGATATTTCTTCCTACTGGGACTCCAACCCTCCTGGGTCTATCAGGACAATATTGATAGACCAGGCCCTGCTGGGAGCCCAAGGGGAAACCAATCCCCCCCTGGGAAAATTGAAAGTTATAGTGCCTACCCTTTGATGTTGTCCACAGCTCCAGAGGCAACTGGTGCTGACCAAAGGCACAGAAGTGCTGGGAAGAAGTATCTTCGAAATGGCCATCTAAGTCTTCAAAATGGCCAACAGTAGATATCTAAAATGGCCACCGGCCATGAGAAATCTTCAAAATGGCCTCCTTCTTCTTCCCCAGGGGGAGCTAATAAGTCTCCCTGGCTTTCGTTGCTCTGCCCAGGCAGAGAACAAGACACAGCCAAGACTTTCAGAGAAGGCAGCTGCTGATCACTACAGCTGCAACTTCACTGCGGGGTTGAACAAGCCCCGCGGCTCTGTCTCTAGTGTGGCTAATGCCCACGCTCTTCCAAAATGGCCATCCAGCCACGGAAACTGCCTCCTCTCACTGAGGAGCCCGAAAAATAGCCCTGCAGCTTCTTCGCTATGGCGGAAGCCTCCGCCCAAGCCCCTTTGGCTGTCCTGCCGATCTGATCTTTCTCTTCACCCCGAAGGGCAAGAAAACGGCCACTGCGGCCCATCGGCTGCTCCAGATCCCCAGAGCAGTCCTCAGATGTTTGCCAGCCCCAATCGTCAGCAGTGATAGCGGGGCGCCAAATTCAAAAAGAAATTTGCAAGAGGCAGCTTTTTAAAGTAAAGTAAAAAAGAAAAGAACGAACAATGTTTTAGAAAGTCTGCCTTTGGAAGAAAACTTTCCAAAGGCAGGAGGGGCAACCCACACGTCCTTGTTTGCTAAGGACTGAGCATAAGCTGCGGAGGAGTCACCCAGAGTGGGTGGAGCTAGGCTAATAAGCCTTTTGCACAGACTTAGTCCCTAGCAAATAAGGAAGAGTACTACCCATCCTGGCCTGTCACTGCCTTACAAGGGAAAAATAGACCAACTATACGGTGTCGTTCACTTCCACAAATCACTCCCCTATACATTGTGGCATTTGTTGAGTGCACTATGACAGTGTTCATCACATTTACACAAGCCCACATGTGCAAATAATAATTATTAGATGAAGTATAGTTGTGATATAGGCTGACTTGATGCATCACGTCTATCACACATTGATATATGCACAGTAGGAATTTGTCTCATATCATGAGCATCATGGTATGAGAGTTACCTAATACGTTGTGCCAAATCCCTGTAGAGTTTTCACCTAATGATTTATCTTGATGTAACTCATATCATAATATTCAAAAGATATCATAATATAATATTCAAAAGTGTATTTCTTGTGATATTTTGCTATAGGCATGTCAGACTGAATAAAGCGGTCATCCCTGATTTAATTATAGTTTTTCTCATATTCGCTCAAATATTTCTCTTCTGTTTTACAAATACTTGTCAAAAAGAAGGAAATGGAATGATGACTATTTGTGCTTTCATTTCACTTGCATAACAGGAAACTTACTATGGCTTGGAAAAAGAGCCAGTGCATTTTTTAGTTTTATTTTTTTGCAGTATTGTGTTTTCCGATTCAAATCTGAAGCCATTCCAAGCTTCAAAAGAATTTCAAGAATAAGCATGAGGCAGCTGACATTGAAGGACATGATGCTGGGTCCTAAAAACTCAAAAGAGCTTGTTTTGCTTCACAAGGAACTCTTCCTAAATTAGATTGCTTTTTTGTTGAAAAGAAAAACCTCGTTTCAAACTAAGTGGCATATAAAGTGGCCAAATCCAAGAAGCCTCATGCTATTGCAGAAGATCTGACCAATCCATGTGCAGTAGAAATAGCAACAATTATCTGGGCAAAGAATCAAGAAAAATATTGAACAGTTGCCCCTACTGAATAACGTCCTTCACAACCAAATCATTGATATGAGTGAAGATATTTTGGGCCAAATCATCTCAGATGTCAGACCTAGTCCTTTTAAAATCTCCATTTAGTTGGATGAATCAACTGATGTCTCCAGCTGTAATCAACTCACGTTAGGAATGTAAATGATGGTGCTGTGAAGAGTGATTTCCTGCTTTGTAAAGATCTGAAAACCAACACAATTGCAAAGGATGTGATGCAGTTGGTCAAAGATATCTTTGCTAAATATGATCTAGATATCAAAGTAATTGGTACTGTGTCCATTGACCTGTAATGTTTAAATGTCTTTTCTGCATTGGTGAAAAAGGAGATTCTATACTTGCAAGTTGCCCATTGTTTTCTTCATCTGTATGCTTTGGCATCAAAACATTGCCTCAAAATTTAAAGAAAGTACTTGATACTTGATCAAGGGGCACACTTTAAACCATATATTCAAATCATTTTGTGAAGATCTGGGAAGTGAGAATTCAATTTTACTTTTCCACACAAAATTCTTTTGTCATGAGGACAAACTTTAATCTGCTTCTTTGAAATGATGGAAGAAATCAGGTTTTTTTTGGAGGACTGAAGTTATATTTTACCTTAAAGGTTGGAAGGAGACAATCTCTAAAATTTTCCTTCACTTTACAAGATGGTTGATGATGCTGGATCCATAATTCCAACTGTGTGATGAGATTGTGGCTTATTTAGAAATACTGTCAGAATTGTTTAATAGGTATTTTGCTACTGGAGATCTAAAGATTTCAGAATAATGGATTATGAATCCATAGTCCTACAATTTGCAGCAAATGCCAGATGATGAAGAACTGAAGGAAAATCATACTGATTTGTGGACAAATCCAGCTCGTGGAATGTAATTTGAAAGCAAGACTTTGGAAGAATTTTTGTGTGCAGTGCTGGATATGTTCCCAAGCCTTGGGTGGGGGGGGGAGCATTCCATGTCATTACATTTACAACAACATACCTGTGTGAGTCTAAATTCAATTCTTTGTCAATCAAGACAAAATCTATGAATTGCTTGAATCCATAGGCACACCTGCAGATCACAAACCCATAAATGTTACACTTTTTGATAAAATCATGAACGAGAAGCAGAAGCAAAGACACCATTGGATTTTATGTTCACAATTGGGACTGATTTTACCTTTTATATTTTTTTTCTGAATAAATTAGAATTAAATTGTTTGATTTGTTCACCTGCAGTATTATATACGATTCAACTTCTTGTTCAAAAATTATACTTCTTCATCTTCAAATGTAATATTTTTGTAAGAGACATAGATTTAATTGACAGGCAAGAAACAACAGTCACTTGATAAATCTGAGGTGCTGCATTGTTCCAAGATGCAGATGAAGTTGAGAAAGAAATATGTCAAAGAAGCAGCTCAACTTAAAAAACACAATGACTGATGGAAAATGTCTTTGGAATTCTAAAAGTATGATGTCAACATGGTTTATGTAATGAAGATCAAGGAATATTTTAACACCATTCACAGTAAAGTTCAATGAGTTCAAACAAAAGAAGCAAATCTTCCCATTAGAATATTCTTGAAAAGATAACTTCCATATTAACATCTAAATCTCCTCATCCCCCCCCCCCCCCGTAAAATAGAAATTTCAGCATCAGCCAAACCATTTCTTGTCCACTCACCGAGACTCCATTACTGGGATGGATATGAGCAGATATTGTAGACATGTAAAGTACTTTAGAAAAAAAGCAATAATAGCACATGTATACCTGAAAAACTGAGGTAGAGGGCGGGAGGGAGAGCAGATTTAGAGTTGATAGGAATAACATCATAAAGATGAAAGACAGTGGAACAGACTTCTTCCACAGTAGAGATGCATACAGTTATTTTAAGTTTCAAAGTAAATTTGAATGAGATTTAAGAACTAATGGCAGTAAAAGTGTCCTTATTCATACCTTCCATGAAGTGCCATAAAAGATTAAATTGTAGCCATTTGTTTTTGCAACTGCAACATCACCCAGTCTTTTGTAACTCTTACATGTAGACTATTGTGATTATAGAAAGGAACATCAAAATTAGCACCTTATTTTGCTCAAAGAGGTAACTGAGTTTCATCTTTGTTGCTGAAACGAGAAAAGAGCCATAAAAAATCTCAAGATGTTTGTTAATGTTGCACCATAAAAATTACTTGATTAAAACTTTTATATGTCTCAAAGATTGTTTATGGGAGATTGCCTGTAAATTCCTTGAAGACAAAAATTTCCCCTCCATTAGATTGAAAACTAACGCAGGTAAAGATTACCTCTCCTGGAAAAGGAGGACATTAGAGTGGAAGAAGACATAAGTTGTATGAAAAATTAGATCTGTAAAAAATGCAAAAATATTAAGAGAAATCATGCAGAAGTAGTCCTTGTGTCCGTTTCAAAAGTAACATAAAAAGTACCAATTTCATTAGAATATCCAAGTATTTCCAGTTTTTCCATATAGCAAATGACAAATTGCATAGAGGTGTAACATGAATGTTTGTTTTTCCCCCTTTTCCTAAATATATAATGAACCATTGGCCATTTATAAGCAGAATTATCATCATACTTTAACATGCAACATTGTTCTCATTTCTGTATGATTAAATAGACTATTTACACACAGTTCATATATAATCTCTTTCTCTCTGTATGCACATGCATTGGTCTAGGCATCAAAGGCCACATATGAGTTCTCTGGGTCAATTTTCTTCAAGTGATTCCAGTTTGAACTTTTGTTAAGCTTTGGATAGGTTGTAATCTCCTCAGTTCTTCCGAATATCAGCATAGACCACAGACTCGGATTTGTTGATTTTGTCACTGTAACGCCCTCCAGAGTGATCTAACTGTGCATAAATTACTGGTCCCTAAAATCAGAAAAAATAAACATGGTATAAACATTTCATTGTTCTAATGAAAACTCAGAATCACATGCAGATGAAAACAAGGGATTTTATTTCCTCTTTTTGAAATCCAGTCTTAGAAATCATACCAATTATGTGGGTTATTCCTATAACCATCAATCTGTTGACATAAATATAAAATTCATAACAAATGGCTTATAATTCTCTGTCTTTTATGCTTTGGGGAGATAAGATCATTTGTAGTTTATGTGGCAACATAATCAAATACAGTGCAAAGAATGAACTCAAGTACATCAAGTAATCGGAGCCCTGCTAAGTAAGCTCATTCACAAGATTCCACTTTTCCACACACTTACCATCACAGATTACATTTATTTTTGAAGGTGGCATTAATTCAAGAAAAGGAAGTATATGGAATACCAACAAGAAAGGAACAAGTAGCTGAAGAATAATTCCTAGGTATTTATATTTTACAACTCTGTAAATCTTTCTTGACAATATTTGGAGTACAAAATTATATTGATTACAGTAACTTTGTCCCATATCTTTCAGAATAAGTCTCCTCAAATCTTTAAGTGATAAGATATAGCTTCATCAAAGTATTAAGAGTTATTGAATAGGACTTAACATTCCAGTTCTTTAGGACATAAGTCAAAGAGTTTTGTTTAATGGATTGGCAGTGCATATAAGGAAGCATTTTAAGGAGAAAAATAATTGGGAAGAATGAATATGGTATACGTTAACAGCAAACAAGTAGGGGGAAAAACAAGATTTTATTTTTCCCAAAATGCAACTGTAATCTTAAAAAGAAATTGTTTCTTTTATGTGCAAGTTTTCTTATGCTTTTCAGTAGCTAATACAAATAAGGTAGGGCAGTTTTGGCCAACCTTTTCAGCACTGAGTGCCAAAACGGGAGTGCTCGTGCAAGTGCTTGCACACGCGCGTGCCGGAAAAAGAAAGAGCAGATGATCTTTCGGTTTCTGGTGCATCTGGTCTTCCGGTTTCTGGCGCAAAGACCAGCTGGCCGGGGCACATGCGCCAGCTCTGCCTGGCCTTTCAGGGGATCTTGTGCCTCCCTCTCCATCCCCCTGGTCCCTATTAGGATGGCGGGACATCCCCAATGACGACCTGGTTCCACAGGCCCAGACAGGGAGAGAAAGTTGGGCAGGAATGCCACTTCCCTCCACTGGAAAGCCAGAGCCCCTTCCTGGCCTCGGAGGGAAGGGGCACCGACGTTCCCGGGAGAGTGCCCCTTCCCTCCGAGTTTCAGGAGGGAGAGCTTTTCCCTAATTCTAGCCGGGATGAAGTGCCCCCCTACAGCCCATCACCGAGAACAAGCCAGAAGACCCCCCCCCACACTCTTCTGTGCACCTTTTAACCCCAGCACTGGACAGATGTTCCTCTCGTGTGGACTCAGCTCCTGTTCAGTCCTGCAGCCCCAGAAGAGCAGCAGTAGCAGCCACAACAGGGCAAGAGATAGGAGTGAGAACCACCACCGCCCTTTCACCTGCCAGGGGTGAAAGGGCAATGGAGGTTCTCGCTCCTGTCTCTCGCCCTGTTGTGGCTGCCGCTGCTGCTCTTCTGGAGTGGCAGGGCTGCGTGTGTGAACCACCACCCCCTTAGCCCCGGTGGCAGCAGTAAATGTGGGCGGGGCAGTGTTTGCTGGCTGGGCAGTCAACTGCCCCAAGCCTGAGCTAGCCAGCATGTTGGAACCTGGAAGAGCAAGTGGAGCAGAACTGCTGGCCACGAGGGGTGAGCCAGGGCTTCCCTTCCTCCCCACCTGAATGGCTTTCTTGTGCGGCCCCAGCCCTCCAGCCCACAGCACCGACACATGTCTGCTCTGCTGGGAAGATGATCTTCTGGTTTCTTGCAGACATGTGCACCAGCCAGTGAGTCTTCACGCACACATGCACTCCAGAAACTGAAAGGCTAAGTAGCCATCAGACATGCATGCAAAATGGAAGATCATCTTCCCACCACGCATATGCACACTGGGCAGCTGCTCTTCTAATTTTTGGTGTACATGTGAAAGTCCAGCTGGCTGGCACGCAGGAACCCGGAAGAGCAATGGGTGATGGCTGGCGTGCCCAGAAGGATCACTCTGCGTGCCCCTTCTGGCACGCATGCCATAGGTTTGCCATCACAGCGGTAGGGGATTCATGTAACTATTTTCTAGCAAGGAGAATTGATCAGGGGAATATCATGGTCTTTTGCAAAAATTTCCAACTGTAATCAGTTATACAAATAGTAATTTGTTGCAAAAATTGTAATCTGCAATCATTTTGTGTCAATTATTTGAATTTCATTTGAATAAATTATTTGAATTTATGTCAATCCTTGGAAGGGCAATCACATTTCAATAACTTTATAATACTCATAATCTACATAACCAATAAATATTGCCAGGTAAATCTCAAAAGAAAAGCATAAGCATGGAGAAGTATGCCAGGATAATTGTACTTCAAGAAAAAAGGAAGCATATACAGTACATGTTGCCTGAAAAGTTTCAAGTAGAAAGCTATAGTGGTCAGATATATTTGCTTCAACAGAAATTATGGGGAAAAGATTTTAGCATTCAGAAGCACTGTCTGGAGTGCTATGGAACTGAGATATTGACTTCTAATTTATCCATTATACATATAGGAACCCAGATAACCAATCAGGTCAGTATTAGACCTAGAAAGCAGGGGTTAATTATCACATTCAGAATGATTAAGCATTCTACAGATGAACAAAGAAAAAGGAGAATGAGTTCTATATACTAGCTGAACATGCACAATTGTGAGAAATTATGGTTCAGATGAATTTATTGATAAGGACAAGAGGGTAAACCTGATGAGTTTAGCTGAAGATGGAATGAATCCACGAAGGCTGTTTTCAAACATGCTGTCTGAAATCCAACCTGGGCAACAAGTTTCTGCTTTCAGAACAAGCAAATGTTAATCAACTTTAAGACTAAATATTTAGGAAGTAAATAGGATACCAGGAGACTGGATAGGTAATGCACAAGCTGTTACTTTGAAAGTACAGTATTAAGCTGGTGAAGTTTTTTAAAGAAATTTCCCCCTGTTTTCTTCAGTATATACATTTATTTTAAACTCCTCCTTATTCTAACAGCAGCAATACAAATTCCTACAGAAAATTACATTCTGGTGCCCATGAAAATGATTGCCTGAAAATAAAGTATTATAAAATAACTGTATCCCAATTCCAAATTTGATGTGTTTTAATTCATTTCCAGAACTTCTGGTAGCATTTTAAGTATAGAAAAAAGATAGAAACCAAGGGATAAATGCTATATGTTCCAATATACATTTAAGGGCTCCAAAAGGAAGCACTTCTGATTCTAAATTTCTGAAACAAATCAACGGTACCCTGATACACTAACTGGGCACTAGGGTCTGTGCTGATATTAAGAAAAATATTTCTATTTCTTTTGGTTTAATTCATTACAGCTTCTTTTATGTCTCAATTAAAGGAACTTAAAAATAGCTTGTAGAATAGGGATTCTATATGGGTTGCAGAAATCCAGTAAACATTAAGTTGGCAACAATTTAATAAATCATTAACTGTAGGTTGCAATACAGCATGGGTGTCAAACTCGCTGTGTCATGTTGCTGTCACATGACATATCAAGACTTTTTTTCCGTTCGTGGAGCTGGGATTGGTGTGGTCTGCATGTGACACATCTGGTCCTCAGGCCACCAGTTTGACACCCCCGCCATACAGTGTCTGTTTGAGTAGATATGACAACTCTACTATAACAAGCCTGGCTGAATGCACTGTTGTATTTATACAATGTTCTCGGACATGAGATGTGTTCAAACACAAGCTGCCACTAGGAAATAGACACAAAGCAACACACAGTTTATGAACTATGTTGAAACAATATCTAATAGGGGTCAAACTTCTGTATTTTTAATTGAATTCCAAAACACAAATGTAATCACTTTATCATAATCTTTCTCTAAATTGACAAATGCACAATATAATGTATTGTAGTAGTGACATAACTACTAATTACTTATTTAATGTATTAGTGGTACACTACTACATAAGTGCAACCTACTTTTATTTCTACTAATTCACAACTGTGGTACTGTAGATAAAATATAAAGGTTTGCCCTGTCCAGTCGTGTCTTACTCTAGGGGGTGGTGCTTTTCTCTGTTTCTTAGCTGAGAGTCAGCGTTGTCCAAAGATATTTCAGTGGTCATGTGGCCAGCATGACTATATGCCAAAGACATACAGAACACAGTTACTTTCCCACCAAAGTGGTACCTATTTATCTACTCACATTTGCATGCTTTCAAACTGCTAAGTTGGCAGAAGCTGGGGCAAATAATGGAGTTCACCTCATCACACAGTGCTTGGGTCTCAAATTGCTGACCTTCTGGTAGACAAGCCTAGTGTCTTTACTGCTAGTCCACTGTGCCTCCTTTACTATTACAACTACATTATAAAATTAGAAGAATATCCTCCAAAACCAAGTCAACTTCATCAGTTATTACCTATTTGCCAGGCAGCAAAGCAAACAACAGTTCATCAATATCATTATTCCTTTTAAGGAGTTCATAATCCAGGCCTATATTTAAGTCCTCACTCATCTGGTATTCATAACTGACAAGAAACTCCTTGTTGGTAAATGGTTGACACTATTCTTTTGGAACTCAGCATACAAACACTACCATTTGTTTCCTTCCCCCTACCATACTATCAATTAATAAACAAAATCCTGCCAGATAATTTCTGAACTTACGGTCAAGACTACTAATAGTCATCTGCAACCACTGAAATATCATGTGGAACTGTGTAAGTTAGTTAGAACATAGCTAAATTATAACATCAAACTATCAGTAAGTAATAATTCCATGTATATAAGTTTCTCATTTTTACAAAAAACCTTAATAAATGTTTTGAGCTCTCTTTGATGAAATTTTATTCCTTAGTTAAGAATCTCAAATCTCACCATAAAGCCTATGACTTTCTTCTAAGATAGATAACTTCGAACAGATTTGGAAAAAGTAAAATCTTTTCTGATCAATGCAATTTCTATTATTCCTTTCTACCCAACAAAAATCATTCACTGTAGAAAAAAAAGAGGCCTGTTATTTATTTCCCCATTTCAAGTCAGCCTTACTACCTTACTGATTTCAAAGTCCCTAGGTCTGTTTCTACGTTATACACTTAAGCAGTATTTAGTGTTGGCCCAACACTAATGGCAAAGAATAAGAATAATAATGCCTACAATACTATATAAATCTAAATACTTAATACTTTAAATACTTAATATTCTCAAAGGCATATAATTACAGCTGAAAGAAACTGAGACACTACTGTGGAACAGCTATTTACTCAATCCTCCAGATTTTTATAAATCAAATCTCTAGGACTGGAAACCTACATGAAGGTAGACTACCTTTAGTAATTTATCTCACTACAGAAACTCATCATTTATTAAGATTAATAGCCCTCCAGTAGTTTAGCATTGCCAAAGACAGCAAGTATATTACAAAAATAGCCAAAAGATAGCTTCGTTTTTCACCGTAGATTCCATTACAGCAGGAATTTTTCCAGATATTTTTCCATGTATATGTTTCAATGATGAATTGTCCCTGCCTCCCCTTAACAAAAATACCACCTTTGCAGTCACTAGGTAATCTCCGAGTCAGACTTTGATACCATTTACCTGATGAGATCGGATGGGCCCGCTGTTTACCAAAACCTCTGTGTCGGAGGGGGACTTCCGTGGAGCCTGCTTAACTGGAGACATCAAGCTCTCAGAAGTACTGCAGCTGATGAGGTGGCAAGCAGATTTTGCAGAATAACATTCAAGAAGCAAATCCAAGACAAAACAAAACAAAAACAAAGGCAAGTGATGGCAAGATGAAGTGGCAATAGGCCAAATAGAGTGACTTCAGTGAATGACAAGACAACACATACATCCTTGTTTTATATTTGCTCAGGTTAGTCATGACTATATTTTCTCCCTTCACATACAAAGAAGAAAGTCCTTCTGCTCCAGGTTAGAGAAACTCATAGCCACATAAAGAATTAACTCCCCCCACCTCCATCTTCATGTAATATAATTTAATTTAGAGTTTATTGGATTTAAAAGCCACCCAACTCCATTATGGATGATTCTGTGTGGTATAAATATATCACATTTAAACCAAACAATCCACACAATTAAAAATACAAAGGGATCTACTGGAGAAAACCACAATCACCTCACAAATTAAACCAACTAACAAGGGTCCTACCGCTCACTCTAACCCTGGTCCTGGGAAAAGAGCTAGATTGTAAGAGCTTATCTAAATAATATCAGGGTAGAGAAAGAAGGGATTTCGTCTCTGGAGGAAAGGTGCTACCTCTGAATAGACAATTTCCAGCATCTCCTGAATTGACGAAGCTTAAAAAAATGGAATCCAGACCTGCCAACTCTACCAGATAATGTAGGTTGACAGTATTACATCATCTGGAAGTGACTTTTCTGTATAAAATTTGCTGCTAGGAGAAATATCTAGCTTGATTCTAAAAATAGGAATATAAATTCCATTAATCCTTTCCCAAAACATCAGTTTTTCATAAGATCTCCAAATGTTTTTGTCAATAGCTGTTGATGGCAACTATACCCAAAGTGTCTGTAGTTATCATATTGGGGAAATCTAGTCTAGATTGGTTTTCTTCCTACATACAAACACAGTGATGCTTAAAAATTTGTGAACCTTTTTGAATTTTCAATATTTCTGCATCAATGTGACCTAAAACATTATTTTCCCCATGTATGTCCTAAAACTAGTTAAAGAAAACCCAATTAAGCAAATAGATCAAAAACGTCTTATTTGTTCGTTTTTCATTGAGGAAAATAATTCCAAGCTACTTATTTTATGGAAAAGGTATATGAATCTTTCAGTAACCAGTGTGGTCGCCTTGGAAGGGAATAACTGAAAAAAAAATTCTTGTAATTTTTAAGCAGTCTTGCACATCAGCTTGGAGGAATTTTAGTCCATTCCTCCATATATAGATATTCTTTTATAAGCCAACTTTTCCACTGTTTCATTTCCAATTATGTAACTTCTTATTCTTGCATTAGCTTCCCACTTTAGGTTCTTCCACAAAATTTCTGTAAAATTAAGGTCAAAACTTTGACCTGGTCATTCTAAACATTAACTTTGTTCTGTTTAAACATTCTTTGGTAGTATCACTGTGGATTTGGGTTATTGTCTGGCTGCCTGATCCACTTTCTCTGGAACTACAGATACCCTGACCTTTTCCTGCTGGTACAATTCAAAATCCATAATTCCATCAAGGGTGACAAGCTGTCCTAGTTTAGAAGCAGCAAAACAGGCTCAAACCATGATACTGCTACTACCATGTTTCCCAAATGGGATAAAGTTGTTTTGCTAGATTGCAGCGATTGCCTTCATTCAAGCCAAAACATTCTATTTTGGTTTCATCCATCCATAGAATGTTCTTGCAGTAGCCTTAATTCACGTGGTCTTTTGAAAACTGTAGATTTAACAGCAAGTTCTTTTGGGGAACTACCAACTTTCTTATTTATTTATAAAATTTATTTCCTGCCCATCTTGTATCTAACGACTCTGCATTTCTTCTTGCAATCTTGCCATTGTTCAATAATCTGCTGATAGTGTTCTCATGAACACTGACATTTGCTAATTTAAGAAAGGCCTTAAGTTCCTTATATATTATCCTGGACTTCTTTAAGCCCCCTCAGAGCATTATGCACCTTGCTCTTGGTGTAATCTTGATTTGTTGTAATCTTGATTCCTGGGGAGGTTAACAATGGTGTTCAACTGTTTCTGTTTGCACACAATTTGCCTGACAGTGGACTGATGGAATCAAAACTCTTCGAAAACAGATTTGTAACCTTTTCCAGTTTGGTGAGCATCAACAACTATTTTGTTGGAAGTCTTCAGAAACCTGCTTGATCAAGCAAAGGCACACTTCTATATGCATGTGTTGGGAAGATCAGATTTTAATTGTGATTATCCAGAATTCTATTCTTTAAATAAGGACAGGCCCCTACACATGTAAATCTGATTATCATCCCATTCATCGAAATATCTAACTCTAATTTTCCCTTCAAATGAACAAATAATCCTAGAAGTTCAGCAACTTTCACCACACACAAATATGTAGCTTTGGGTCATTTTCCTCAATGAATAAATGAACAAGTATGTTTTTGACTCATTTGTTTAACTGAATTCTCTTTATTTAATTTTAGATCGTGTGGAAAACAAATCATGTTTTAGGTCATATTGAGGCCAAATATAGAAAATTTTAAAAGGTTCAAAATTTTTAAGCATCAAAATTAAAACCATATGGAAGTGTGATAATGAAAAGATAACAATGCTATTAAACAGAAAGCAGCCCTCCACTAATCAATTTTGTGATTGAACTTAAATACTGAACATTCAAAAGGCAGATGTGAGATTTGAAGCAATACACCGGAACACAATATTGAGAAAACATAAGAGCTAGTAAATGGGCTTCGTTCATATTGAGACTAAACCCCAGAACATAACAATCAAAGGACAAATAAGCATCTGGAATCTATCCTAAGAGAATGTGCAACTCTGCACTGAACCAGTTAATAATACTGAATTCACAGTTTGTGCATAAAATATTTTCAGGTGCATTTTTTTTTATACTGACAGCAATCTTATTTTTTTTCTCATAGTACAAAAAGTCCAAATATTCAATTCATGCATGCATCTGAGTTAGCTGCTTCTGAAGGTACATAGCCTTGTTGCCAAAACTGAAGAAATGAGACAACAAAATGCAAACAATAGATGAGATATGCTGCCCCTTCACCAACAGTCCACAAAATAGAAATTCAGCATAAGTGTTGGAAGTATGTTAGCAGGATAGTAAGCAAGGGAGGCAGAAATGTATATACGTATGGACATAAAGTACCAAAGAACTACTGGCATGATTAGTTACCATGATATATAGTGGACTGGAAGAGATGACCCAGCCCTGTTACATTCCCAGTCTTGCATCTATATCAGGATCTCTGTAAGGAAAGGAAGATAAAAAGCAGGATCCAATCCCAGCATACCAAAACAGTAATAGGGAGAAAAAAATCAAAGAAAAAATAGACGTTGTGATACTGCCATGCAAGAGTTACCACCACCACCTGTCTCGATCAGTTACAGCTCTAGTGTTAGTTTATTTAGAAATTAAATATCATATATTATATATACACACAAATGTGTGTGTGCACGCACATACACATTCTTATTTGTAATTACTTGAATAGACATCCCATCAGAAACACAGTATAGTCAATGAAATCAATGTTAATGTGTGTTGCTTGGAGACAACAACAAAAGAACAATAATTTTACACAAAGATAGTCCCAAACCTTCAGAAACAATACACTTGATGAAAAAAATATTATTCATATTAAGACATGGCATCCTGGGTGCAGATCAGTATTCAAGTGTTATGGAAACAGTACATGCACAAGGGAAATTAAGCTTTCCACACCAAGCCAGAGCTTATACAGCCAATTCACTGCACTCATTCAACCTTACCACTAATATCTACTGCAGCACTTTCTAAATTCTGCAGCTGAAAAGAAGGTTACAAAAAAGATGCCAATTACACACACCCAGTACAAATTGACTTTTTAGCACTGTATGAATAATATTTACTGGCTCTACAAAAGCAAGAAGTCAGGCCATGAAATGATTGATCCTGAAAGAATTGTTATGTGCGATTTTCTGTGCACAGGGCTGCATTTCTGTTGGAATTAAGTGGTCAAGCAAAGTAAATACCACCACCGGTTCAAAGGAGCCCATCAACCAATTGTTCATGGCAAATAATCCACCTTGAGGATATTGTCTAATAGACGTTCCTTAAAGCCAAATTACAGGAGGCATCATGAGTGCAACAGGAACTAAAAGAAGTCATGCATATGATAAAGCCAGTGAAAATAGCAGAAGGGCAGCGTTCCCAAAGCCAAGATTGGAAAGCTATGGAAAGCGGACTGTTGTAAAAGGAACTGGCAGCCATACCCCCAATCTTAGAGACAAAAAGTTGTGCCATCCAGAATGTAACCTGATAGTTACACAGCCTCCTTTATCCTGAGAGCTGCAAGGGGGCAGTTTTAGGCTAGTTTCCAAGAAGGAACTTAATCGACTTATAAAGAGGAGCAACATACGAATATATGTACACCATGAAGTTGACAATTTATAAGCTCAGAAGAATGTGTTTTCTAGCTGTCCCAGTAATTTAAACCAAAATTATAAATGCACAAATTCATGTTTCAAACTGTTCATATTCCCTCCCGTCTCCCCTCTAAAGAATATCTAAAGAAACAAGTATAGTACCTTACCCAGAATAATGCTTTTTGGAATTCTTCTTTCTGATCATAACACATACAATAAGTATGATGACGAAAACTAAAACTAGAATGCCAACACCGGTTACCCCTAACACAAGGGTAAGAGGAAATACAGACAAGTTACCTAAGGAGAAAAAAAACCTTTCATTTCAGTTATTATTATACCTTGTTAAAACTGATCACACATTATTCCATTCAAAATTTTAATTCAGTTGTGGGTGCATTTATATTATCAGTATGCTTTTTAAAACTTTTTACTTATTAAACATGAAGTGAAAACCATTGATATGTTATATAGGATGTCTCCTACTTTTATGTTTAAAAACAAAAAACAAAACTAACAGCCAGCTCAGATTCAGTTTGTAATCACCTAATACTTTTCACAAGCATTATTACCATCTGTCCCCAATTGTATTCTTGTGCATTTGATTTTTTTTTAAAAAAACCTTTGTATTTGTCTCTTTTCATATTTGATTCTCTTAGCATGTTTATCTTACCAATCATGATAATTTTGACAATGTTATTTTTGTCTTCTAAAATATCCTACTTTATTTTCTATCAAATAAGCAATTTAATAAGAATTCACTCCATCTCTTCTTCCAAACCATTAACAAAAAGCTTGAATTGTAGAGGGCCCAAGACTATGTAGTAATTTACTCCAACTAGTATTTATTCAACTCTGAGGAGGAACCATTGATAGTGTTCTGCAAGTATGATTTTCAACTACATATATGCTTAACTGTAATGACATCCATACATTAGCTTGCTCATCAGAATGCCATAAAGTACTTTATAAAAGGTCTTACTAAAATAAAATTATGTTTTATGGTAGCATTTCTGTAATTTACTGAAAAAGTTATGAATCAAAACAAATCTTATTTCAGGTTAAGGAATAATTAATCATTATTCCTTAATCTGGAATAAGATCAATTTGGCAAACTTTCTTGACAAATTCATGTTACCACATAGGTGGCTTTCTGGAAATTAATCTAATATCAATCTAATACAACCTAGAAAACAATCTCTTTAGGTGTGATGATTCACCCAGATGCTTCCCAGACACCTCTCCAGATGCTAGTTCGGAAGAGGATGAGCATCAGGAGGGGAGGCAGACAAGGGCTACAAGCCAGGAGCGGAAAGGCCAAGCGCAGGAGAGCAATCGGACAAGCAGCTGTCTTAGCTAGAGACAGGAGAGGCACAACTGCAGCTGGGAAGCCCAGAGGCTTTGAGTGGAGAGGGCACACAGCTGCAGCTGGTCAGTAGAGATGAAGAAGACCTGCTTCCTCCTCCAGATCTAAGAGCATGTAAGGCTGAGAGGAGGCAGGCACAAAGATCAGTCAGGCTACCTGTGAGGAGGCAGCCTTGTCCCTCTTTATGGTCTGCAGCAGGAAGTAGTTATTTAGTTTAGCAAGGAGAGTGAAACAATGCTGGGAACATATTTTTGTTGTGTGTTCTTGCTTTGAACTTTGGATTGTGCAACTATGGAATTTCCTTTGCCTTTTGGCCTTGCCTTTGTCATATGGATTTACCTTTGCCTGTGTACTTGCTTTGCCCTGTGTGCCTTGCGACTTGCCTTTGCCTTGGGGACTTGCTTTTGCCTAATGGACTGGACTTGCCTTTGCCTTGTGGTCGAATGCTCGCTTCTTTTGAGTAGCCTGCTGAACTCATTAGAGGTGAGCTGCTGCTGGAACATGGAATTGCTGGGGAATATTAATTCAGGCATGGAAGCCTTAATAAAGACTCCTAACACTGTGGTGTGCGTATGTCAACAGGACAGCACATTAGAAACGTACTCTAGGTCCTTCCCATTTTTAAAAATGTAAGAATGACTTTTCTGTGTTCTCTAGATTATTTCTCTCCCCACCCTTTCCATTTTAAGATAATTTGTTTTCCCAGAAGCTAGCACCTTGCCCATTGTCCATAATTTATTTAGGATACTGTAAGGCCATCAGAAGATATTCCTTCAATGCCTGAAGTGCAATTCATCTGGTCTTGGGAAGTTATAGATATTTCTTATCATTCATAAGCTCAGTTCTATCTTTTTCATTCTGTGAGTTTATTAAAATCCCCTTTTAAAAGTCCAAGATGTATTTGAATAGGCTCATCATTATATTGCTATGTGTCTTACTTATCAATTTGTATCAGGTTAAGGATTTTTTGCCTTCTTTCACTATCTGAAATAAATCTAAATGTTATCATAGCATCCCACTGTTGTTTCTCAGAATTGCTAAAAGTGCCATGTTTCGGAGCGGTTTGGCCACCCGATTCTGGACCTCTTTACCTCTCCGTTGAACTCGGTTGAACTTTTTGTGAGGCTTCCAACACCAGGGGCGGAAATAAACCAGGAGACAATTTTAGATAAACCAGGAAATAATTTTAGGTATATCAGAGAACAGCATGAAGCAATAAGAACTTCATACTCCTCAGAGCTGAAAATGTATCTCTTTTATGAATATGTTTTTTTCTACATAAGACTAACTATATTTTAGGACTCTCCACATAAAGAATCTCTCATTCCATTCAGTGACTCTTTTTTCAGATAAAGCAATATTTATATCAGTGCTTCCCATGGCTTTTCCTTCATTACCTAAACCGCTTATCAGAAAGTCTTGTCAAACTTTGAGGATTGGACATAAATCCCTGCAATCAGTGGTTACTGAATGAATAACCATAACTCAGGGACTACTTATATTATGAAAACAGTATCACTTAATGATATTTACATCATTTCAACAAACTACCATTGGTAATTTTATTGTATTAATAAGAATACTTTGGGAGAACTTCATATATATTTTAGGCAATATTTAACTCAGTTTAAATGTCCTTGTGTTGTGCAATACGTTTATATGCCATTACCCAAAGATTTTTTTTTTTATTGATTTTGGGTACCTTACCTAGGTTTGGGAAGCACTGATTAAAACCTCTGAAGTTTGTTGATTTTTCTTGGTAAATTTATATATAACTTTATTTACACCCAAAAGATCCAAATAGCAAAGTACAAACATAATCTAAAATTTGGTATTATATATAACAGTTTAACAAATAAAATAATTTATAAGTGTTACATCAAACACACTCAATCTTATTGATACGTTACTAAAGACCTTGTATTTATGGCCATAGTTAAAAAGTTGGGTGTTGCTGCTCTAATTTTAGGATTTTTCTAGGTGAAATGTTAACATGTTCAGACACACCTTTTACTGGTCTTGATTTTAAAATACACCAGATAAATATACTACTCAAAACTCTTTCAAGCATCACAATACAATACTCAATACTATTACAGGACAAAATCTTGGAGAAATTGGAATCTTTGATGGCAACACATTTAATCTAGCTTTTGAAAAGACCATTTTGTACTTCTCTAAATGTAAATTAAGCTATGTTGGGAGCTGCAAGTTTATTTGTAATTTATTCCAAAAATCACAGATGAATACAGAATTTTAGCCTTTGTCATTGACTCATTTTAAGTTATTCCATGACCTTTAATACAATAAAATGCTGGTGAAATTTCTACTCCACTGTTCAGAATAAAATAATGGAATAAAATGCAGAATAGCCAAACAAGTACTTGCTTCAGCGCATTGTTACATACAGTAATTTTAGACAAAGAAAGCAACTTATGCAGAACCTTTCCATCACTCATTAATTCCATCCACTTATTACTATACCTTTCTCCATAACCCTGACTTTGATTTTTCCTGGTGTAACAACTATATCTGGAGGGTTTTTAACATCACAGATATAGGTTCCATTGTCCTGAAATTGCATGTTTGCTATAGTGATTGATGCATCTTTCCTGTTAAGGTCTCCAGCCCAGTTGCTTCTGTCATCAAATTGTGTACTCTTTCCAAGATATGCTTTTCCATTGTAATAATAGAAGAACTATAATCAAAAATACAAAAATGATGCTGTATTAAAATTTTGCTTTCCACCTATTGTCTTAACAAATCTGCTAAATTTCTTCAAAACTCGACTCATACAATACATGAATTTCAAACCAGTGCAAGATAAGTGACAAATACTTGAGAGCCTGTAAAGCTGGTTTTAAACCAGCTGAAGGGTCAGAGAAACATTTAACACATAATATCACAAGAATTTTTAAAGTTTTAGACTAATTTCAGGAGCTCAGGTATCTTGCTTTGCCTGACTTTCCACAATTCCCTCAGTTTTTCTTTTCTCAAAATAATGAACTGATAACTATTACTAATACTATTACATGATTTCATTCTGGTATCAGTTTATTATTTTTCCAATCATATTAAGGTAAAAAGATATCTAACCAAGCATGTGAAGTGAGTTAAAGCATTTCCTCATCCAAGCAAGGTTTTTGGTGGCAACCAATTTGGTGCAAAATACAATTAATATCTTAACCAACATTTCAAGGGAACAATCAGGCTTTTAGTAGTATAGAAAGTAAGCAAGAATAGGCAGGGCTTTTTACTTCTTATGATTTTCTTTTGCAAACAATATCTTACCGAGACAGGAGATGATGATCCCTCGCCTTGGAAACTCCAGGAGACAGAAGCTAAACTGCTGATTACTTCTGTGGAAGTAAAAGTGCATGGAAGCTTTGCCTCAGTCCCATTCTCCACAAGAAAGTCTGATGGCGTGTATACCTCCACAGCTGAAACCTGGACTATCAAGAACATCATTACAAGAATCAGAATACCAGATCCTTCATAAATATTAAAACTATAACAAAGATAGGTATGAAGAGTTTAATCATCAAAAAGAAGATTCAAGAATCTATTAAATCAAAGAGATAAGAGTAAAAAATCTGTTTCAGTTCACTCATCTTATTAAGCCATCATGTGGCTGGTTGGTTTTTGATTTTGTATAAAGTATGGATGCAACATTACAATTTACTGTCATGTGCACACCAGACTTTCTGTGGATTCTCAGGAGAGAAATTCAATATAACACATTATTTCAGAATTTTTCATCTTTACTATGCAGACATCTAGTTTCATTTCCCAGCAAGCCTAATTTACAGACAGAAGACAATATTTCATTGCTCCCCTCTTCTGCTACCCATTTGATATAAGAGCAACCACTTCTGATTCTCAATTGCAGAATGACAAAATGTTTTTCTCTCTATTATTATATAGCTAAGTGTTTTCTACATAAGTGTGCATGCATTTAGTGAAGTTGATGCTCTATATAGATGCACTATTCTATTCCCTGCCTACTTCTTAATTTAGAATTAATAAAGGGCTTACAGATATTGGTGGTTTATTTTCCCACTGTTGCAATTGGTTTTCTTCTGGCTGGTAAAACATTGAACTTCTATCATTTTTACCACTTTTCATTGTTGTAATTTTGAAGGTATAAACAACTGCACATAAATAGAAAATATGCACTCAGAGAAGGATGCTGTAATTTAACTTTGCACCATGTAGTAGTTCTGTTGATTTAGGGAAATATGTAATTTGAATGGGGGTACTTAATCTTTTGCATGAACTGTAAACATGTCTTTCAATCTATAAGTGATATGATAATTAAAATATCATGGGATATTCAGTTACAGGTAGTCCTTGGTTAACTATTTGTCCATTGACAGTTTGAAGATGCAATGACACTGAATGAATGGTACTTGCATCCAGGCCTCAAAGTTCCAGCTGTAGCAACATCCCTGCTTAATGACAGGACTGCCAGGATTGCATTTATGACCAAATCACTTAGCAACACAAATGCTAATCTCAATTATCATTGTTAAGCAAGAATTACCTGTAAATAATAACAAGCACTGGAAGGAATCTTAAAATATATTTTGGCCTAGCCACCTGCTTATTGTAAGACTCCATTATTATTCCATCCTCAACAGATGGCCATCCAGCTTCTGTTTAAACACCTGCAGCAGAGAAGCCTCCACAATCTTCCAAATAATTCTATACCACTGTTAAAGAGCCATTATTAGTATGATTTCTTTTGATATTCAACCAAATATATTTCCTTGTTATTTAACCCCACTATTTCTATTCCGGTTTTCTTCATGACAGAGGACAGGCATCATGCCACGCAGACTTCTGTAAGTTAATCATAGCTAATACCCTCTACCCATTCCTTATAGCTTTTCCTTCCAGACATCTTATCATGTTAATTGCTTTCTTCTGGTTGAGCTCTATTTTGTTGATGTCGTTTCTAAAATCTGGAGCCTATTACTGGATACAATGTTCTATATTCAATTTGATCAATGCAAAATAGAAAGGGAAAAATAACTTCTCTTGCTCTTGGCTACTTTATTTCTATTATTTCTAAAACTACATGTGCTATGAGATTTGTGGCGTGCATGTTGTGGTTCACCAGCAGCCGGTACAGACGGCAGTGGAATCAGACAGTGGGAAAGAACGGGGACCAATCAGGGACTCTGGAGCGGACTCAGATGAGGTCCTGCATCCAATGCAGAGATGGGGCCAGGACCCTCTGAGAATGGGGTGCTGCCTTTGGAGTCTGGCAGTAGTGAGGCAGAGGACCCAAGAGAGCCTGTTCCCAGTGTGCATGTGCGCAGAGCTGCTAGAAGGTGAGAGCTGCTTAAACAAAAGGGATGACTCGGGAGAAAGGCTGGGAGGTGAATGTCCCTCCCATAAGGGATAAAAGTCAGGCCAAGATGACAAAACCTTTGCAGGAAGCAAAGAAGTTTGATCAGTTCTGAGTCATCCTTGAAGCTCTGTGTACTTCGGTTGGTTTTTCTTGTACTTTGATTGGTTTCTGTTCTAGTTAATTTGATACTTCTATTTTGTCAGAACTTCACAGAACTGAAAGGTCTGTGCTTATCTTGGGGAACTGTTTGAGCTTACTTCCAGCTGGGAATGAAAACAATTCCCAGCGTTGCAATAAAATAGGTTTTGTTTTTAAAACAAGTTTGTGAGTAATTACAGTTTATGAAGCCTGGGTTAGAACAATGCACAGCAGTTGCATCATGCTGCTAGCTCAAGTTCAACTTGTGATGCACAAAGTAACCTATATCCATAATAATACAATTCTTTGAGTATCATGCTTTGATTAAATCTGGAATGACCACATTGCAAAATCTACAAAAATAAATTTCCAATTTGCGAACATAATTGGAAAATTTGTTATGTGAACCTCCATCCCAGTCTAGAAGGTATCCAACAATCAGTAAATGACAATTAGATGTAGCATTGGTGCTCGTCATGTGGCTGGATTAAGGGTTATCCTGTCCAGCTTTTAATGTGACCAGTGCCACATTTGTTTGATGTTAAAAAGGTATATAGGATTCAGAACAATGAACCAATACACCTGATATTGTAAGAACAGAAATATCAATATTGAATACTGGCATTCTTTAAATCAACAATCTGAAACAAATAAAATAGTATTTTTCTTTCATAATTTGTATCCAGTTAATAACATACTTGGAGATAAGGGTGAAAAAAAACCCATCCAATGAATGTGGAATGTATTTATGTGCATACCAGTACTAGAAAATCAAACAGGGAAATACATGTAGACATTTCAATGAGACATCTGGCATTCTTTGGGAAGAATCCTCACACTTTGTCAAACCAGGAGACTATAAGAATCAAAGGCTTTCTAATTAACAAAACTTGAAAATAGTTTCAAAATTTATACTTGGATTTTGATAAGGAGCCACCTGAAATGCTTTGGAGTTTGTTGCTGTTTTACAAACAACAGTTTTCCCTGAAATGCTGTTTCTAAAATATTGAAGGAAACCTAGTAACAAAGTTAGAAACTGTTAATCCTCTTTCTCCAGAAACATGTTGCAACATCCAAAAATGTTTTCTAATGAGAAATCTATAGAATAAAAACACCGCGCGCGTACACACACACACACACACACACACACACAAATCCTAGAGAAAGCAATTGTTTCAGTACCCAATCAACTTCCTCTGAAAAACAATGTAACACAATGTTTCAATGCAGCACTGGGGTTTCTGGAACTAGAGAAAAAACACACATGAACCTTTACTCTCAAAAGCTCCACCCAGACACTGTGAAGTTTAAGAAAACAGAATCATAATTACAGGATCTCGATATCCTAAAACGTGTGCTTTATTTTCACATGCTCTCAGAGAGCATTTTAGTTTGAAAAAAATATCATTAAATTTGCCTAAGTAGGAAATACCAATAATTAAACCAAAACAAATAGCATGTTATCATTCCAGATTAGTACACAAATTAGGGTTTAACCTTTTTGTGAACATCTCTATAAAATATGTATGTTGATATTTGTGTCCCAATTTTTAAGAATTTGAAGTTTAAATCCCAGAAACTGTTAATTTGCAACATCTTAAAACTAGTATATTCAGGATGAGTTGGAACAACTCGGTTGGCCAAAATAAGAAAATTATAGTAGAACGCATTGAGCACCAAATTGGGAGAACTGGCTGACATTATTATTTTCAGATGATGAAATCATAGTTTGTGATTTCTCTGAAGCAGCACCATGATATTCTCTTTTACCACTGTTGATGTTTTCTGACTTTCATAGAATAATTCATGACGTTCTAATAAATATTACAGCATTGTGCATTAGTTCAAGGCTATTTCAGATTTTGATCAAAGCGCAGGCAACTAAAACTTAAAATAATATTCCTGATGAAAATAATTATCAAAACCTGCTTATAAGAGGTTGGGACACAGAATCACCACTACTGATTATTCTAGGCCATCTGCCAATATTTACAGATTTTAATAATGCCAGAATATAATAAAGAGCAACACTTGATCCCATCATTTCTTTGGACTTCACATTGCCAAAGCTTTTTAAAAGAGTCACAGCATAAAATAAAGTGCATACCTCACTAATCAAATTGAAATAATAAAAGTGTTTCCTAAATTATATACCAAGATTTTGAAAACAGGGTTTTGACAATAATTATTCAACAACTCTGTTACATCAGAGTTGGAGTTCAGTCTAGAAAAAAAGTAAATATTAGCGGCAATGTATTTTGATTATCACACTACATTTAATTAATCCAGAGATTAATACTAGCCTGACTCAAGTCAAGTAAATAGTTTGAACTGAAACTTCCTTGCCATTAGCCATCTTTAAGATGCATGAAGTTGCTTAGTTTCTGGTTTCTATAAAGGATGTTTCTTTTCTGGATTCTAGTAAGAACGAACCCAACAGTATAATAACTGGTATGGAAAGAACCACATAGATTAAGCATGGACAAACTATGGCCACCTCAAATGTTATCAAATTGCAACTTGCATCATTCCTCAACAGTTGACAGGCTTGCAAGGGCTAATCTAAATTTGAGTTCAACAGCATTTGGATCATCTAGGAGTGTCAAACTCACGTCGTCACAGCAGTGCCACATGGTGTATCAGGACGTTTTCCCCTTCACTAAACTGGGTGTGGGCGTGGGCAGTGCATGATGCATCCAACCGACAGGCCGGGAGTTTGACAGCTCTGATCTAGATGGTCACATGCTACTTAACACCACAATGAACTATTGCAATGAGAATTGAACGATGTTGAAAATAGGTTAACTTATTATATTTTATTGCTAAAGAATACTCCATACTCCTTTGATCTACTATTGAAAAATTGTGTACGTATGCTTAGATTTTACAACAGTCTGGTTGAACCTTGAAAATGATAGTTGTGAAAGTCATAGAATAAGTTTTAGCAGCTTGGCATAAGCAGATAGCCATCTAACTTGCAACATTTTGACCTGCATGAGTGATAACCAAAGAGTCACCAAAGGGAACACATAGTAAGTCTGAGCAGGAACATCCCCCCCCCCCTCCCAAATAGTTGAATATCTCACTTATCTGGGAACAGGATAACTAACGTGTTTTATCAGTGTAATTATCTCTGTATCCAATCAAATCCCATTCTTTTAATGATTGTTTTCGTCTGTCCTATTTTGATCAAAGGTATTTTGTAAGCATCCAGTACATCACCAACTCAGACTTGAGAAGTAGAACTTGTTTACTTTTTAATGCAATGCTACCAATTTAGCCAGACACTACTTGGATTAATAATTCTGCAGTAAGTTGCTACTATGGTTTTCTACAAATGGTATGGTTAACAACTTCTAGAGTCCTTCCTTGCTAGCTAAAGTGACAGTGGTTTATATCTAGGTTGTCTATCCCTGAAGCAAACTGTTTGTAGGCAACCGTCTGGAGAATTATTTCATTTGCCTATTAATATCTGCCCAGTTCAACTTGCAGAACCAATCTGAAAGGAACAACTATTTTTGCCCCTAGTCAAATTATCCTATTTATACTAGAAGACATAGACAGAACAAACATGAACACAGTTCTTAATAGTTGCTTCATAGATAATTTTTTCTTGTCTCAACATGTATAACAGCAGCAGCTAGTTTATATTTTTGAGAAATTGCTATTATCTAACCAGTTTAAAGTAAGACAAAAAGAAGTCTAGATTTAAAAATGCAGCCAATTTTAAAAGAATGTTCTTATTCCTCTAGAACTGTGTGTAAACAATCATCCTAAGGGTTTTTTCCCATTACATTGAAGTTTTTAAAAGAGAGCTTTGTGAAGGCACTCTCAAATTTGAATGAATGGCTAATGCTTTTATTTTAAGTTAACTTTTAAAAATATTGGCTTCATGGAAGAAAATAAGATGATTATTCAATAATTGCAATATGAGAGGAAATAGTTTGATGAAATTCAGAAAGAAAGAAAAAAACCTTTCCATCTTGGAATAAATTGTATCCAAAGCATAACCTCCAATGCTACAGTGAAATATTGTTTGCCTTTGGCTTAGGTGGTTCCAAATACATATCACAGTTTTGGATATATTGCTAAACAAAAATTAAAAAGGCATGTTTTAGCTCAGGGTTACAATGGAACCAGATCTAATTCAGTTTCTATTCAAGGGATAAGGTCTCTTAAGTAGATTTTTGAATTGAACCCTAAGACCACCAATGCAAAATTCAAATCAGGGTTAAATATTGAATTAACTTTTAAAATACTGTAGGTTTTCTGTGCCAGTAAAAAGAAATAGAAAAATATATAAACAAAAACTTAAGGAGAAAAGGGAAGGAGAAAATAAATATAGTACTGCATATTCTAAAACAAGAGTCCCCAGATCCCTGGCATGGCATGCCAAAAACTGCACAAACAAGAGAAGCCCCATCCATGGGATGCAGGATGTCTGTGGAAAAATCTCTGTCCACAAAGCCAGTCCCTGATTCTAAAAAGATTGGGGGCCGCTGTTCTAAAACTAAACTCTCCTTCTGGGAGACACAAGTCTACTTGGTCATAAAACATGCCATACACAAAAGGGGGGTGGGGGGGTGGGAGAAATCATCTATCTTCACATTTACCTCTGGGGCAAAGGTTAAAATAAACCATGACCAAGCTTGCATTTGTTTTAACTACTGCTAATCTTATTGGAGTTTTTTTCTTTTCTTTGATGATCTAATTGTGGGAAAATCTCACTTCTGATAAATATACAGCACAAATTAACAAGTCTTACAACACCTTTTGTAACTACTGTAGTACAAAGCATGGAACTTGAAAATGAAACAATATTTTCAACTGATATATTTCCAATGACATTTTAAAAATGCTAGTATCATCAGAATAAAATATTAATAAGTTTCAAACAAATACTATATTAAGTGCAACACTGGTTGAATCTTAGTATTAGCTTGACTTATATTCATATTACACATGAAAAATAATTGTAACATTCATACTGAATGATAAACGCTACACAATTTTACTATTGTTCTATTTGCGGTGTAACATATACATCAAATATGAAATGTTGACTTCATGTAAATTTTTCATGGTAATAAAACTCAGAAGTAGGGATATATTGCCACCTTCGTACTGTTAATATTGCTTCAGGCTACAGAAATATTAAATTGGTAAAGGATAAGGATATGTATCAATTAATTTGTAGAAATATAGCACTTTGCCACAATTAAGGTATAGATTGGATCTATAAAATCATTTTAATGTTGTTAGTTGTCCTTTTGTATGTATTAGTTTTGCATATATTACCTACATCAATTATGAGAGAGAATGGGAGTATCAGGATAGAATATGTTCACAATTGCACTGTTGCCTGAGCACAGGTTAGCAAACTAGTGATGTCAAGGATATCATATTATTTGGATAAACCCAGTTTCAGCTAAGCAAAATCTTCTTTCTGGTAACACAGGAATCATGTTTATCATTTGTTTTCAATGAAAAACAGCTGCAAATATTATAGGAACCAATTCCTAAAACTGATGTTCAGTTCTAACATAATGTGCATGAGCTGAGTGATTCTGTTCACAACTTGGGTCTTATCATCAAAGCTTTCCTTAATACCTGTGAGACATAGGAGGAATTCCAAATAGTACTAGGAATAAAACTGTGAGGCTGTCTTCCTGCTCCCAAGAAGACAAACTCCAAAGCTCCTTGGTAAATAAGCAGCTATATCGATTTGTTTTGTAAATAAAATAAGGAGCTTGAAATTCTAAATCAGTTTAAAGCACACAATTATACTTATGCCCATTTGAGGTGATTTATTTTCATTGCGTACTCGTTCGGTCAAATAACCGTCCTGGACAGCCAACAACCATATCTTTACTACAAGCGTTAAAATCAGTACGTAAGTCCTGCCGCTTAAGTGTACTGTATTAATTCAGACTCTTTTCCACCTTTCCGTACCCGACTTTCCTCAGTCAGAACATCCCCGTTATTTGTACAATTGAGCTATATGTCCCGGACATGATCACAACAAGAATAGAGGGTACGGCATTCCAAACGGGGCAACGGGGTGTGTGGTTTCTGTGTGCGAGAGCGAACGCCTGTGTGTCTGTAGTACGGTCAATTCTAGATTGTTTTGCAAAAGCGATTAAAATGTCCAGGCACCATCGTCCTGACACGTACGTTTATCCCTCTCCTCCGCCCCCCAACCACCACACACACAGACACCCTCTTCATTTACAAGGAAGCAGACGAGGCACCCTGTCAATATATTACTGGAGGGTTGCTTAGAGCTCCTATCCTGCCCTCCCGTCCATCCTACAAAGCAGCACCTCTTTCGCCTTTTGCCCATCGGTCAGCCTGGCGCTCTTCTCCCCCCCACGCCCCCCCCCCATGCACCCCAGCGCAAACTAGCGCCGGCGGATAACTGGCCTTCCTCCTCCACCTCCGGCCCACGCCAGGTCTGGCTAAGAGGGCGACGGGTCTCCGAGGAGGAAGTAGCTTCTCCTTTCTCCTGCGCTCCCTCCGTTTCTCCCCTCCGTTCCCCCCCCCCCCCCCCCCCCCGTCCCATAGAGCCCAATACGACACGCCTCGGACTCACGCAGGGACGAAAGCGCCGCAAGCAGGAGCAGCGCGGGGAAGCAGGCTGCGGACGCGGCGCCCTGCCGCGAACAGCCGCTCCCCGAAAACGCCGCTAAAGCCGCCGCTGCCATTTTCCTGCTTCCATCTCCTTTTCCTCCCATTGTTCCACCCCCGCCCATGGTTGGAGAGGGGTGGGAAAGCTGAGGGGGACTGCCGGGCGCCTATTGAGCGGTAGCCCTGTCAATCACGCACACCTCCTGAATCCCACGTCTCCTTTTCGCGAGGCTCTGCCTTTCGTTTCTCCTGGTGAAAATCGGTTGGAAATGCTACCTGCCACTCTCGCTTGAGGGAGTTGTTAAGAAAGCACGGTCTCACCCTCGTTGGGGGGCTGACACGTGATAAGGAGCGACTGAGGCGTTTTTTGTAGCATTCTCTAATATTGCAGCAGGATTGGCTTTTTGCCCAGTTTTTTTTCCCCCCCGTCTGGCAGTAGCTTTTTTTCCGGCGGCTATTTCCTTCTTTAGCATCCCAGTTATAAACCATGTATCTATCCAGAGGTTGAAAATATTTATTCTGTTCAAGTCTACCTAACACTTCGTTTTGAGATAATTCCTCATAGAAATGATCCGGGGCCATTTTTTCACATTAATTTCAACGCATTCTTAACAAGTTTTCCTTGTTGTTTGATGTCAGATGCAGCCAAGTGTATAATTTACTGTTTTATTAAAAGGAAGGAAAGTGTTGGTTTAAAAAAAAGTATGATTAAATATTTCCATTATGATAAGTATTAGAAATTAAGTATTATAGTTTTGGGTACGTTGTTGGTTTAATTCAAGTTCTCAAGCAAAGATGCTACTTTAAGAAGCATATTTCTACTTATTCTTTTTAATATAGACATTTGAGTACAGTCATATAGTTGTAATCAATCATATAGTTCTCCAATCAACACTCTTTTGAGTATGGGAATCAAAATTAAGCTGTCTGCAAAAGCCTAGTCTCCACTATAACCCACCCGGGAAAGGGAAGGTACCACTCCATTGTGTAATGGGAGGCACTGCCAATCCTTGTGCATGATTCTGAAGTCAATCATGCATTTACTCATCATACATCCTATTTATTGTTAACTAGTTTGCAAATCATGGACTATTTTGTCATACTTTGTCTAGTGATACCCACATTGCTACACTTTTTTAAAGAAGTTTTCAAATCAAGGAAATATGATCAGGATAGTTTTGCAAGACTTGTTCTTGATAAATCCATGACATGTTAATAAATACATTATTTTCACAGTGCTTAGAAACTGGTGTCTCCATGATCTAATTCTAGAAACTTTTCAGGTGTTGATTTCAGGCTTACTGAACTAAAGATCTTTGGATTTATTCTCATTCATTCTCTCTCTCTCTCTCTCTCTCTCTCTCTC